GAGTTCAAGACCTTTAGCTCAAAATACAACCGGACAGGATAAAATACCAGTTGCTTTCAAGCTGCTTTCTAAATCTGGCCCAACAGACTCTCTGGTTTCGCTTAGAGGCTCAGGAGTGCCCTGGCACGGACTTGCCGCTTACTGTGCTGTGGCGTGACCACGAGTGACCAAAGTGACGTGTGAGCAACCTTACTGGAGCCAGGACAGCAGCAGCTTTGCCTGTAGGAGGTCACAGCAGTTCCCTCAGCTGATCCTCTGGTCACTCAAAAATTATAACTTCACCTTGAAATGATTATTCTCAAGGATTACTCAAGCAGAAGAAATTAAACTTTGGTAAAACCAAACAAGTGTTGCCAGCCAAGAAATCCCAACCAGAAGCCAAGCTGTAAATGCGGAATCCAGGGGAAGCTTAGGGTGAAGACCAAGTCTCCAGATCAGAGGTAGCACTGGGCACACAACTACTCTAGTCTTGGCAAGAATTAGTATAAATTCTATCATCACATTCCCACTGAAGTGATAGTATGTTCAAATGAAAATATATTTAGAAAGTAATTTCTAGACATCTCAAATGATTTATGAAAATGGAATATTTAACTCAAACTGGGTTGTTGAGAGAGCCATAATTATGGGAAAAGATTATTAATGTCATTCTCAGTACTGGGCATAAATAAAAAGCAAAGAGATCCTGAAGAGCTATGAGTGAAATGAGGTGATCTCTGGGAAAGGAACTTAGAAATTAGCATAAAATAGTTGAGAGATTCTACTTGGAGACCTTGAATGGGTTGTCAGCCAAGTACACTTATTGGAATGGAATAAAATGGAAAGTATTAAAGTAGCTGAAGACAGAAACAAACAAACAAGCAACATTGCCCTTGAGTTAGTATGGAGAGCTAGGCTTAGCAACTCCTCACGTGTCAGTTTAGTACTGTGCTCGAAAGGTGTTTTAATGGTTAATTTGTCAAGTTTAATCACTAGACATACTTCTGAGGTGACTCTGGACAGATTTGAACCTCCAATCTTTTGGTTAATAGCTCAGCATGTTAATTGTTTTCAGCACCTAGAGTTTGGCAAGTCAAAAAAGAGAGCTGCTCAGTAACAGAAGCATGAAGAGACAAGGTCGCAGGGACTATTCAATCAACCTGAGGAGAGGAGGAGAGGTGTGATGATTCTTGCTTTAGATGTAAAACCATTTTAGATCATGATACATCCATAGCCCTCAATATAAAGTTAATAAGTCAATAGTTCTTAAACTTCAGCTGTCTTCTCAGTACTATTAAGAATACTGATTCCCAGGTGCCACTCCTTATGATTCTGCATCCATTGTTGTAAGGTGATATTTGGACATCTGAACACTCAAGCTGCAGTGTAATTCTGAACGTGAGTTTGAGGCCCACACTCTGAGGAAGTATCTCAGTCCTATAGCAGCCTGTGATGAAGAATACGGACTACCCCATAAGATGCCAAAAGAACAAATAAATCAGTCTCAGAAGAAGTGAGGTCAGGGTGCTGTTTAGGGACAAGGATAGTGGCATTTCATATCACCTATTTCGGGGTCAGTCTTTGGAAAAAAAGACATCATGCTGGGAAAGGTTGAGGGTCAGTGAAAGAAAGTCTCACCCTCAACAAACTGGACTGACACAGTCACTGTAACAGTGACTGAAGCATAGAAGAGACCTAGGAACGGCTCGGGGCAGGGCAAAGTTTTGATCTGTTTTTCATAAGGTAGCTTTGAATTACTTTGGACATATTATAAGAAGAGACCGGTCCTTGGAGAAGGACATCATGCTGGAGAGGGTGGAGGGACAGCGCAGGAGGGGAAGGCCCTCTATGAGGTGGAATGATTCAGTGACTGGGATAACTGAGATGGGTGTGTCAGAGACAGTGTGATTGGCACAGGACAGAGCAGAGTTTAGGGCTGTTGTACATAGGGTCGCTATGAGTCGCAAGCGACTCGACGGCACATAACAACAACAACAACAGCTTTGATTGTAGTCAACAACGTCAAGTCAACCTAACAACAACAACAACATAGTAACCTGGAATCCAGGCTCAGCTGAAAACTCTCTGACAACTCGAATTTTTCTAAAATGTGCCCAGAAGGAAAGATTGTTCCACCCTGATGCTTCCAGGTTCTACTATCCACTGTGAGGAATCTCCTTAGGGGTGACTAAGTGGTCTCCTGGCTTAATGCATCAGCCACATTCACTTGACGGATCTAACCTTGACATTGGGGGATATTTCCTATGCTTTTCTTTTAATCCTATGTCTTGAAGCCACCAGTCACTATTCCTAGAGAAAGATGAGACACTCTGTCCCTTTTAACATTTACAGACTTGGAAACCAATTGAAAGTTCACTATGCATCACAAGGGAATTGATTGGCATGGATTCAATTTTGTTTTGATATACATTTTTGCCTAATAATTATCAGGAAAGAAGTATCACAAAGAAAAATGGCATAATGAAATATAAAGCAGGAAAAATGCAAGCCAGAATGTGTATTCTGTGGTCAAGAACAATTTCCCAAAGCTTTTGCTGAAACCCAGAGCCACATGAGATAATTGTGAGGTACAAATTTTGCTCTGACTTAATACAAATTTTAAAATTTTAAAGAATAAAAGACATTATCTTTTACAAAGAAAACCCCACAACTAAATAAGAGAAATACAACCCTGACACACTCTCTTCTCAATTTTAAACCATGCAGTGCTCCCCTGCTATGTTCACACAACAGCCTCCTGATCCAGGTATAGGTTCCTCACGAGCACAGTTAACTGCTCTGGGACTCCCATTCTTCTCAATTTCAGCCACAACTCCACAACTTGTTATGATCCACACAATAAAGCACAAATATGGTTGTATTCTCTCTCGACACCTATTCAATCTGTAAGCTAAGCAAATTATCCAAGAACTAGACTCTAGGAAGAGGAATATGGCTTCAGGATTGCAAGAAGATTCATCAATAATCTGCGCTATGCAGATGACACAATGGAGATTGAAGCATTTGTTGCAGAAGGAAAATATGCAAATAATAATAGTCACTGCCATAGGACATACTCATACTAAAAAATGTTGTTTATCTAAAATACAAAGAAAACTAGGGTTTAATCTCACTGGTGACAGAGTAGGTGACATATCAGGCTACTCACTGAAACTTTGGAGGCTTGAAAATAGCTCAGAAGGAGAATTATAGACAGGTTTCTCTCATAAATATTTAAAGGCATTGGAAGCCCAACAAAGGGTCTCTATGAGTTCGCATCAACTAGATGGCAGTTGTTGTTAGATGCCAGATGCCATCAAGTTGACTGCAACTCATTGCAACTGATGAACAAGGGATCTGGACCCTGCCCTAGCCTGTCTCGGCCTCACTATCTCTGACATACTTAAGTCCACTGGTGCAGTCACTGTGTCAATCCATCTTGTTGAGGCAGGTTTCATATGTACATGACATCTGAGATGATACCAGAGCTCTGTTGGTATAGTGGGTAAGGAGTTGGGCTGCTTGCCCAAAGGGAGCTGTTTGAATCCATCAACTGCTCTGCAGGAGAAAAGGGGGCAATCTCCTCCCATATGATTTATAGTCATTGAAAATCCTTTGGAAGAAGCTATGTGTTGGTTCTGACTCTGCTTGAATAAGTTTGTTTTAATTTTTGAATAGCAGCTGAGATCTTTTACCCCTGTGCCATCATTACAAAAAATGTCCAAGATTGGCAAGGATACAAGGAAATAGATACTCCACATATTGCTTATATTAAGGTAATATGCTAAACCCTTCCTGCAAAATTTTGGCAGCATCTTTCAAAATTTTAGTGCAAATTCCTGATACAAGTTTGATTTTCGAGAATATATTATGCAAATACTCACAAGTGTCTATTTGTAAATGTAGAGCCTGAGGGTCTACATTCATCTAGCCTGTTGGTCCTTCTTTCTCTTTCCCTAACAGGCCTCCTAAGTAAAAAATATCTCACATTTTTCATATGAGTCATGCAACTGAGCTCAATATCCAAGCTAATACTTTTGCAGATCTTCTCTTCCCCCACAACTCACTCTTTTATTTATTGCCATCTAATGCAAGATATTGGGAAAGTCTGCTATCAGAGAACTCCTCAAGGTACTGAGGAGCAACGATGTCAGTCTGGAGACTAAGGTGCACCTGATACAGGGCACGGTCTTCACCATTACTTGCTATGCTTCAGAGAGCTGGACAATGACTAGGGATGATAGGAAAGTTGATGCCTTTGTGCTGTGGTGCTGGAGAAGGGTATTGAATATACCATGGACTGCTAGGAGAACAAACAAGTTCATCCTAGAGAGGGTAAAACCAGGCTGCTCTTTGGAAGCAAAGGTTCTGAAGCTTCGTCTGACGTACTTTGGACATGTTGCAAGGAGGGACCAGTCCTTGGGGAGGGATGTCAGGCTTGGGAGGGTGGAGGGACAGCACAGGAGAGGAAGACCCACGACTAGATGGATCAATTCCATCACTGGGGTAATGGGGATAGGTGTGTCAGAGACAATAAGATTGGCAAGAATAACAGGGTTTAGGGCTGTTGTATATAGTGTCACTAGGAGTCACAAGTGACTAGAAGTCTCATAACATCAAAAACGACAATGCAGGATATGAAACAAAACAAAGCATTTCAAGATAATGAAAGCAAAGTCAAGCCCATTAGTCTAAATAAAAACTATAAGCAATTGCTTTTCCTAGAGTCAAATACCCACAAGAACATTAATAATAGTTTTCCTAAAAACATAATAATGTCTCTGCCCTCCTTTTTCTCCCTTTAGAGAAGGTAGCTACATTAGTAAGGAATAATGTACTCAATATAAATCCTAAGGAGAGTCACCAGGACCAGAAGCATGTAGCCCTGACTGAGTGGTGCCTGTCTTATTACAGTCCAGCCATACTTTGACCTTCCCCATGAGCCTCAAGGACAGCATTTTGTTCTAAATCCCACTCTTGACCTATGATATTCCCTAGGTGACGTGTCGTTGGCATCTTACCACTGTAATTCCATCATTGAGAAGGGCCTCTCCAAAGATCATCATGTAGAGTGGCTCGTTCACACGTGCCTCCTCGAATACAGCCAGCACAGCCACAGGGTCTACAGCTGAGATCAGGCTGCCAAACAGCAGGTTCTGCAGCAGGTTGACATCGCTGAGGCCAAAGGCCTTGATCTGGCAGATGAGGTAGAGGGAGAGGCCAATGCCAAAGGCATTGATCAGGGCCCCTAGTACAGCCCACCACAGGATGGAGCCAATGTTCTCAAAGAAGGGCCGAGTGGGCATGAAGTAACCACCCTCTAGGATAATGGGTGGAAGGAGATACAGGAAGTAGATGCTGGAATCCATGACTGGAGGTGACTTGTGGTCAGTGCCGAAGATGATGCAGCCCACCAGAACTCCAACAAGGATGAGGAGGCAGCTTTCTGGCATGAGGCCTGGCAGCCTGTGGTAGAGATGGAAGCCTGAGGAAGAGCAGAGATTATGTGAAGTTCTTTGTGAGTAAAATTATTCTGGCCACTAATAGACCAGCAATAAGTACATACAAGAAATGTTTTTAAAGCCACACAAATGGAACCTTGGGCTAGCTGGCTGTCTTCTGTGAGCCCCAGCACCTCATCACCAGCAGGTGCTAATTACATCGATCTGCTCATGCTTTGGGCTCAACATACTATCAAACAGTTTGCATACTGGACCTAGGGCAGATTAGAGAGTTTCCCCAGGTAGTCATCTTCTCTCCCTTTCTCTTTCTTGCTTTGTCATCTTACAAGGATCAGAAGGGCACAGAAAGGAAAGAGAGGAGAAGAGCTGGCTGCATGCATGGGAAATCCACCTTCAACTCATGCAGAGTCAATATCTTGTCCCACATTCCCCTGATAAATCTCTCTTTCCCTTTTGGTCTCCTTCTCTTCTCTAGTAAACAAGAAAGTCCTTTATTTTGTTTTCTTAAACAGGAAGAGACTTTTCTAGAAGAAGGACATCGTGGTTCAAAAGGTGGGTGATATAGTGAAGGAAAGGAAAACTCTCAACCAGGTGGGTTGACACAGTGACTGCAGCAGTGGGTTCGACTGTGTCAGAGACTGTGAGGCTGGTAGAGAATAGAACAAGTTTCAGCTCTGTGTTCACTGGAGCACTGTAAGTTGAACTGGCTTTCACAGCACCTAACAACAGCTACTTAAACAGGAAGCTCTCGTGTGGTAAAACAGTCTACTGGGAGTTATACTGCTAACCCAAAGGTAGTCTCTCTCTGGGAGTCTGACTCCACTAGTGGTCCTAGGAGAGAAGGATGGACATTTTCCTCCCTCACAACTTACAGACTTGAGAAAAACCATTGAAAGTTCAGCTAAGAGCAGTTCCAATTCAAAGGCAATGAGTTTATTTAAACAACATTTGGCCAGCCACACGGGAGGGAAAAAAAATCCCTTCATGCAAACAGCTCCAGATATCAACCCTCCTCATATCGAGGCTACCACCTTCATTTGGACTTTCTTTCTCTCTTGAATTATCTCCCAGATCTCATATTTCACCTTCAACCCCAAAATCCAAACCTACACTGTAGCCAGACAAGCTTTTCTTGTCATCAATATCTGATTGCCTCATTCCCCACCTAACAGAATGAAGGCACGTGAAGCAATTCAAGGATTTTCAGTGGAGGATATTTGTTGAGCATCTTTTGTGAAGACCAAACCATATGCTGAGTTAAACACTGTGAAGTGGAGGATAAAGATATTTATTATAATCACTGCTATGATGACAAGTTAGAAACAAGCCATAAGCAAAGACGGCAAAACCATTTAAGCATCCAATGAAATAAATCTTGAATATTCCAGCAAGTTTGGTAAATGGTCAGAGCATGGAGGTCAGCAAAGGAATCTTTCCAAGCTTCCCTCACACCCTGTACTACTTTTGAATACTCACTATTGGAACCACCAAATGTCATTTTACCCAGCAGGTCTTTTTTACTGTCCTTTTGTTCTGTTACTGCTCCTTGGGGCTCTCCTGAACCTCAGATTGCTCAGGCCTCACTCACAAATCCTTACCATGAAGCATTCATGTGTGAAGTAGAAGTTGAACAGGTTATCAGAGAGGATTTTAAAAAAACCAAAAAAACCACAAAACATACAACCAAACCAAGCAAATAAGCAAAACTACTCAGTTCATTAAAGCTGACCGTCTAGTGAATTTTTGAACTGGAGATTGCCCATCTTTCCTTCTGAGCTGCTAAGTCCACGTGAAAGGGTACCATATTTGGTTGGCAGCACAAACCCTCTATGGACTATGCCTTCAGAGCTCCTTTGGAGGAGGGAGAAGGACGAGAACTCACATAAGTCAATTGTTTTTGTTGATTGTCTTCAAGTCAAGGATGACTCATAGTGACCCTGTAAACAAAAGGCCTGAAGCTATCGACATTTATCAAAGTTCATAAAGTTTCTGGAGGCATGTTGTTTAGAAAGTGGATGCCACTCCTGCTTTCAACATAAGTGAATATCAGAATATAAGTTATTTAAAATGAAGAAAAGTTCAAACACAAAGAGAAGAGAGGCAAGAAATAGCCCAGCCAGGCAATTTCTACAGTCATTTGTACCTGCTGGGGCAGATTTTGAATTATGGAAAGCAGCAGGCAAAGAGGGAGCTCTGGTGGCCTAGTGGGAAGAAGTTGTGCTGCAATCTCAAAGACATGCAGTTCAAATCCACCAACTGCTCCATGGGAGAAGGATGGACAATCTCTGCCTGTGTTATTAACTGCCTCTGAAAACCCATCAGAGGGTCAGTTAGGGGTCGGTTCTAACTCGATGGTACACAGCACAACAGTAGGAAAAGAGTTGGAAGGTTATTTTGAGCCTGAGAGTAGCAAACCTTGAATTTCAAGGCTATGGAAGGTGGACTTCCTCACATATATCAGGGATTCAGTGGACTTTTTAGGTGCAACCACATATGAAATGTATCTTTTTTATTGTTTTCTGTTCACCATCCAAACACAGTTGTTCAATGAGATATTACTAGCATCAAGATTTACTGTCCCCACTCACACTCATATCCCACTGGCTTCAAGGCCAGATTACGGCTTCTTTCTGTAGTTCTGCCCACTGTATTTTTTAATGAATTTTTGTTATTCTTTTAATGCTTATTCATTTTAACCTAGTTTAACTTCCCTCTGGTGGTGTAGTCAGGAAGGAATTGAATTGCTAAATCAAAGGTACCCTCTCTCTAGTGTTGAGAATCTCCTAGTGACCTAGGGAGGGAGCGCTGGTGGCCTAGAGGCAAGAAACTGTGCTGCAATTGTGAAGGTACTTGGTTCAAGGCCACCAGCTGCTCCTTGGGAGAAGGATGGGCAATTTCCTCCCATGTGATTAACTGCCTTTGAAAACCCTCCAGAGAGTCAGCTATGGGTCGGTTCCAACTTGATGGTACTCAACAACAAAGGCCACCAGTAACTCCGGAGGGTGGGTATGGGGGGTTTGAGAGGCGGGCGGAGAAGGATGACCAAACTCCTCTGATGCAACTAACAGCTTCTGAAAACCTGTGGAGGGACAGCTATAGGTCAGTTCAGACTCTATGGTAAAGATCAAAGGAGAACAATGGGCAATCTCCTCCCTTGAGATATACATACAGCCTTTGGACATCTGCTAGAGGGTCGACTAGAAACAGATTCCAACTTGATGTTAATGTTGTTGTTGTTTAATGCCGTGGAGTCGTAGACTACTCATAGAGACCCTATGAACGAACAGCGTGAGCACTGGTCATACATGGAGTTTCCAGAGGCAAGCCATTTCGGAAGTGGATGCCGCTCCTGCTTCCAGTGACGTTAATGTAGGATTTGTTTAAAAAACTTCCCTCATGATACAATAGGGAGCTCTGGTGGCTTAGTGGTAAGGAGTTGTGCTGCCATCCCAAAGGACCAAAGTTACAATCCACTAGCTGCTCCACAGGAGAAAGATGGGCAATATTCTTCCAAGCAATTTTACTGCCTCTGAAAAGCTGCTCTGAGGACTAGACATTAGTTGGTTCTGATCTGAAGGCACCTAAAAAATGACAAGAGTGATAAGCTCTTGCATAGTGTGATTTTTCTCAGGTCCTGTGGCTCCCTAAGCCGGTCCTGCTTCCAGGAATCCAGTTTCCAGGAATGATTTGAATATGAACTTTCTTTAAGCCAAATTCTACCAGAAAACAGCAATAGCAGGAAGAAGCCACAAACACTTAAATGGAATACTATAAAAGGTAACTTGACCTGCATTTCATTAGGCTAATGTACTAAATGATACAAGATAAAGACGATACCTGATTTATTTCCAATTTTAACATTTTCTTCCCTCTCATGTTGGACAATAAAGTCAGTTACTAGACATTTTACAATTCCAATATGAGGAAATTTAAATGGCCACCAAAAAAATTTCTTGCCCAAACACCAGAAGATGGTCCTACAATAATGGAATCCGTAATATAAGAATGGACTGTCCAATGATCCAAGCAACACTCTTCTATAATAATCAAAGGGTTGCATGACAATAAAGGATAAACCACAATGAGTAAAGTGACTTGTATAATTTTTATGACATCTCTGTCTAGTACAACATGAATAAATGCGGGTTTTTAAAGGAATCAGGAACACTTTGGACAGTCTTTTGTCATGTGGTACTAGGTTAGGAGTCTACCGTTTTAGACTTACATTGAAATTAGTGACAATAGTTAGTCCACATAGCACAGCAGAGCTCAATGAATATGTCTTGATAGAATGACTGAATAAAAGAATGGAAAATAATAATAATAATTTATTATAACTTGTTTTAGGTCTTATCATAAAGATTCTTGAAAACCATAGACATGAGTGGCATTAGTTGTTGGTTTTTGCTGCCATGACGCAATTGGTCCATAACAGACCCTCCACTGGGTTTTCAGAGGTAGTAAATTGTCAAGGGAGATTTCCCATCCTTCTCCCTCTCACCTCCTCCATAAATGGATTAGTATATACAAAACTAATAGCTGGAACCTGGTAAGCTGCTTTATTTTCAGTAAATATATTTCTTTATAAATATGAAGGAAATCTCTGGCACAGATTTCAAAAGAAAACCCAGGATGCCTATGGAACCGCCTAGAATTTTGTCAATGTTCATGCAGTCTCCTGAAAAGTTTTAGTTCTTAAACTCGGAACTGAAAACACTATCAATTCAGAAGACCATTTTTATTTGAGAGCTTTGTAAAGGTAATGTGAAACACTTCATGTACAATGGCAATTTAACAAATAGTCCAATAGTTCTGAAAATTGATACTTCTCACATGTTTTTCACAGTTTATAACTCAAAAATCAGTAGCCATTTTTAAAAAGCCTCTACTAAATATCTCAGTATCCCAAACAGCCTCAGAAAGCATGTTCAATGAATAGACAAAACCCCTTAGGCATGATATCAACTAGCTAATTTCTAGAATTCCATGGCTCAACCCTTAATACATACTCACCTTTGAGGAAAATAAAATAAATGAACATTAAAACATGTCATCCTGATTCTATCCCAATAATGTCATATCCCTACTCCAAAACTATAAATTTTTTAGGTGAGTGAAAGGAGAATTTATACTTAATAATTAAGATAAGGGGATCAATTTTTTTCCACTTTGGAATAAGCTAATTTTTAAAAGGCAAGGGGAATATGATGAATTATTACATAGTGTAAACCATGACTATGACTTCTTAGTACAAAGAACCCTCAGTTAGTATCAATCCATTAACTCAAGTTCACTTTATTTCACAAAAGAAATCAGAGGTGCCCCACCGTTTCTCCTTTCAGCTCAGCTGCAAACTAGTCTTTTACTGACAGATACCATCTCACATGCTTGCACCACTGAGTGATGCAAGTGACACCTGCGATGGTCTTGCTGCTTGCAATTTACTAGAAGCACACACCATTTTAACAGAATAAACAATGGAAGCCATTGACAACGGTAACATAGCCATGAATGAGCAAAAATACCTTACAAGAAAGAATCATTATGAGGGTCCTGAAATTTCCAACCTGCAGCATTCTCAGGTCTCCATGGTTTACTCTTTATATTTTTGTTTTCAAAACACAGAACTTGAGATTTTCACCTACCAGATAATGAATGCCACATGACTGTCATGCTAAAATCATAAAGGAACCAAGACAAATCAGGACCTAAAGTATGGCTTGAATTTCTAAGCACAATCCAAAAGCATTAAATGGTAAAAAGTAATTCATTTGAACCAAGCAAAGAGAAAGCTGTAAAAGTAACAGCATTAAGTATTTAAAACCAATTTAATCCAACATTTATCAGGCATGCTCATGTAGGGAAAATTCTCACATTCAGGTAGGTGTTGGGGGACTTACCTATTTTTGCAAGGGATGCTAGAAGTATCCAGAGGGTGACCTCATAAGGAATTTGAACATAGTCATAATCCAGTGAAAAAACAGATATCCTCTCATCTGGCTCTGAGCTGGCAGCAGCAAACCGAGCATTAAGGTTGCTATTCCACTGCTGGGCAGTGGAATTTGAAGAATTCAAATCAGAAGATGCATCAGCACCCTTGAGAGCCACTAGTAATAGCAACCAATTCCAAGGGCTAAAAGCCACAAACATCCGAAAAAACATGATGGGCTTCTATCTCCTTCCTTCACTAATGCACCAATGTGTGTATCTAGAGGGAAACTACATTCACCTGAGTCAAAATCCGTGGGTCATTCTAAGAGTCCAGGTGTGCCCTTGAGCTCTGAGCTGATGTCTTCTAATCTTCAGTGCATTCCTGTTCAGATAATTCAGCTTCTGACTCAAACTCAGTGATTCAGTAAGTAAAGGTCTGCATGATCTCTAGCTGAGCATAAGAAGATCAATTATTAGGAAAGGAAAAGTATTTCTTCACTGAAGCTGATTCCTAGGTTTACTGCACTCTGGCTTCCTCTTGTGAGTGAAAATTAAAAAGGATAGCACATTGTTCATTCCAAATGTCACTGGAAGCCTAAGAAAAGGTAGTCTTCCCCTTCTGTCAGAACCCAAGAAAGAGCTACCTGCCCTTCACCTGCTCCTTCTCTCCGCCCCCTGCTTCCGCTCTTGTTTTGAATGGCCAAGGCAGCAGGTAGTTCTTGAACTACACTTAATTATTTGCTCTGATTTGACTTAATGTGATAAACGCTTTCTGTGTCCTCCAAAAGTTCCACTGCTGACATCTAGTGGACAGTCACAATATGTACACCCTTAGCATCTATCCTTAGTTAAGATGTTATGACAATTTCTTAAAAAGGGGTATTATGCTTGGAAAAGTCAACAAAAGAGAGGAGGACCACCAATGAAGTGGATAGACATGGTGACTGCAGCAATGGGTTCAAATGTGTCAGAGATGATGAGGATGGCACAGGATAGAACAGGTTTTCCGGTCCCTATGAGTAGTACTCAACTTCACAGCACCTACCAACTACAACATGTAATTATATCTGAGTTGCATGTGCAAAGCAGAATTATCTAGGATAATTGGATTATATGGTTTTCTAGAAGAATTTGAAAGAGGAATATAGGATAAAGAAGAGTGAGGAGGAAGAGGAAGGTGACAAGAATAACAAACATACCAGCAGGTTACAGAGTTTCCTACACAAAATTCACAGAAAAAAGTAAAGTCCAATCTACCTAGTAACTTGCACAAAATATTTTAAGTATAAGAACAGTATTCATTAAACACACATAAGAACTATTTGGGAATACTACAAGGTACATAAAATTTCCCATTTTAAAGAATTTGGCTCTTATGTCCAACCGCAATCAAATGGATTGAGAAATTGTAGTGCATTCACATGATGGGATACTCTGCAACATGAAAGAGGAAGCATTTTGAAAATTACTACATAACTTGGGAGAGACTGGAGAACATTATACTGAGTAAACTAACTCAGTCTTATAGGGACAAATACTGCACAAGGCCATTATTGTAGAAGTAAAAAGATAACTAGTAAAACATGTATGAGGATGGCGGGATGAGTAGGAGCAGAAGGGTAAGGATGCAAAGGGGGAAATGACAGAGCCAAACAGTTTGATGAATGGGGGGAGAGGTAGGTAAAAGGAAATAGGAAAGATCCACAGAGATCCGGAAAGACAGCAATGTTTCCATTTCAAAGCATATTTCAATGGTGATTAATTTTATTAAATAGAATGAATGGGAATGATTGTATGAAATTCAATCTATATGAACATTTTAAGCAAACCAATATAAAAGAAAAAAATTATTTTAAAAAAGGAATTTGGCTATTACAATTGATTTGGCAAAAGTAATTCTGATGTATAGTCCATAAAAAGTTGTACTGCTAACCCAAAGAATACATCTCTGGAAGTTCAAATCCAACAGCCGTTCCTCAGGAGAAACATGGACAATCTCTACCCATACCACTTATAGGTTGGAAATCCCCAGCTATGAAGTTCCAACTTCAAGGCAATCAGTTTGAGGATTTTTAAAAAATTATTCTTTCTTAAAATGAAATAGCATAGCAAAATGTTATGGGAGAATGTTGAGATTAATTATATGGATATACTTAGTTTTTCATCCAACCTTTTCACCTAGGCCACTTGACTCACTTTTACTCATTCATTCACACAACTGAAACTCCACACAAAGAAAATTTCAAGCTCTGATGACTTTCTGCGTGTTTTGTGTATTCTATCAAACATATAAAATTCATTAATATTAATTATTCACTATTAAAAAAGTAGACATATTATTTCCTAATGCTATATAGAAACAGTATTAATCTGACACCAAACTAGAGAAGGGCATCAAAAAACACAAACTCCTTAGAACAGAGCAAGGAAACACGGCATGGTGTAAAATCAGGAAAGGATGTTGGGATTGCGTCCTGTCTCCTTACATTTTCAATCTGTATGCCAAAATCATTCAAGAAACTGGGCTTTATGAGGAGGAATGTGGCATCAGGATTGGAAAAAAACTCATCAACAATCTGTGATATGCAGATAGCACAACAATGTTTGCTGAAACTGAGGAGGACCTGCAGCACTTGCTGCAGAAAGTCAAGAACTGTGTGTTCAATATGAATTTAAGGTCAACATCAAGAAGACAAAGATTCTCACCACTGGGCCAATCATTCACCATGAGGGATGGAGAAGAGATTAAGGTTGTTAACAATTTCGTCTTTTTGTGCTCCACAATCAACATTCTTGGCACTAGCAGTCAGGAAATCAAAGACGAAACATAGTGGAAAAATCTGTGGTCAGGGCTTCTCCAGAGTACTGAGAAGCAACAGTGTCAGTCTAGAGACTACGGTGCACCTAATCCATGCTATGGTTTTCACAATTGCTTGTTTTTCATCATAGAGGTGGACAATGACTAAGGACAGCAGATGAAGAATCAATGCCTTTAAGTTGTGGTGCTGGAGAAGAGTATTGAACATAATAACACGGAGTGCCAAGAGAATAAACAAGTCTGTCTTGAAGAGGGTGAAACTGAGTTTTCCCTTTTTACCCTGTTGGATAGGATTTTGAAGCTCTGTCTTATGTACTTTGGGGAAATGGCCAGGAGAGACTAGTCATCAGAGAAGGACATCATGCTTGGAAGAACGTAGAGACAATGCAGGAGAGAAAGACTCTGGATGAGATGGATTGACACAGTACCTAGGGCAATAGGGGTAGGTGTGTCAGAATTAGAGACTGACTCAGGACAGGGCAGGCTCACTATGGGATAGGCTCATAGGATCACTATGAGTCATAGGCTGCTTCATGGCAAATAACAACAACAATTTCTGAGAAAGCACCAGACCACCTTCCATAATGGTTGCACAATTTTACACTCCGACCAGCAGTGAATAAGGGTTCTAATCTCTCCACAACCTCATCAGCATTTAGTGTTTGCTTCTCTGTTTAACTTTGTTATTATTGCTGGGGTGAGGGGATATCTTCTTCATATGCTTGTTTGCCATCTAAATGGCTTCTTTGGTGAAGTGTCTATTTATATCCTGTGCCTATTTTGTGATTGGGTTGAGGTACTGAAGTATTCTGTATATTTTAGTAATGAGTCCCATATCATATATGTAATTTTCCCCCCAGTCTGTGAATTTCCTTTTTACCCTGTTGGAGAAGGTTTTTGATGTGCATAAGGATTTAGTTCTTAGAAGGTCCTATTCATTTATTGTGTTCCCCCCTGGTTGTAGGTTTTTCATTATGCTCAGAAGACTGTTCATATTGTGGATTAGAGCTTTTAGAGGTCTTCTAAGCTTTTCTCTAATGAAGTTTATAGTCTTTGGCTTTATTCCTAGGTCCTGGGTCTACCTTGATGTGTATGTTTTTTGTTTGGTTTCTTTGGTTGGTTTTTTTTTTTTTATATGATGTGAGATGTGGATCATGCTTGAGTTTTCTACAGATGGTTTTCTAATTTTGCCAACACCATTTGTTAAAAAGACTTTTGTTTCCCTAGCTGACTGGTTTTTCAAAAGTCAGTTGATCATAGATTGAAGTGCACATTTCTAGGTTCTCAGTTCTATCCCACTGATCTGTTTGTCTGTCACTGTGCCACTGTCATGGTGCCTTGACTACTGCAGCTGTAGGATACACTTTTTTGCCAAGTCTACTCAAAATTCTGCCCAAAGAAATTAGACAAGAAAAAGAAATAAAAGGTAACCAGGTAAACAAAAATTCGCATTCACGACTGAGTTACTTTTGTCACATAATCACCCTCCATCAAGCTTCCAAGCCTGAAAATCATTAAAATAGAAACTGTTCATCTTGCATCCAAAGAGCCTTTTGGTGAGCATTGCAACACTATGAACTATAGTATCAGAGTTAAGTTTTAGTTTTATCGGCAAATGACATGATTTTATATATAGAAAATTTTAAAGAATCCATTCAAATGTTGTTGTTGTTGTTGTTAAGTGCCATCGAGTCGCTTGAATTGGGTTGAGGTACTGAAGTATTCTGTATATGTACAAGAGCTCTAAATGCTGTTCTATCCTGTGCCAAACTAGCCATCTCAAACGCACTTATTGACACTGCTCCAGTCACAGAATCTATCCATCTCATCGAAGGTCTTCCTCTCCTTCACCACCCCTCCGCTCTGCCAAACATGATGTCCCTCTCCAAGGACCAGTTCCTCCTTGCAACATGCCCAAATTATGTCAGACGAAGCTTCAGAATCCTTGACTCCAAGGAGCATTCTGGCTTCACCTTCTCCA